CTTTCTTTCTTTCTTTCTTTCTTTCTTTCTTTCTTTCTTTCTTTCTTCTAATTTCCATTACTACTTTTTTATGTTCCTTTTGTTGGATGTACTCATTCAATTCCAGACAACTACAACAGCAGCTATTTCTTGGGCATACACAAGTTTTCTCTCAAAAAACAAACACTTTGTTTTCAAAGCTTGTTCCCAATCTTTTGGCCAGTCACACTCTTGTGACATTGGTGTTGAGTTCTGTGCCACTGGAGGGTTTTTAAAAATGTTTTATGGAGACCCACATCTTTTTCCGATGCCTCTGTTGCTCCGTGGAGACTCAGTGAAGAGGATCCTGTTAACAAGGTTAGCATCAGTGATGTCTTGACAAGGTCTGCCACTGCCATATTAACCAATGAGAGATTGGCACACGAAAAAGATGTCAAATCCAAACAGATGGCGGCACAAAAATCTGATGTAAAAAACTAATGACCCTGGTTTTCCAGACCACATCTAAACGTTATTGTCCAGTTTGTAAAAAAAAAATGTCTATGCTCTGGAAGGTATTTCTCAAAGGTTGTCTTGGAACAATATTGACCTGACACTCTGAGCTGCTTTGAGAGGCAAGAAAAAGCCATTTTAAAATAGAATACCAATTATGGAATGAATACCTTAAATAACAGGCTTGTTTTGTGGCTTATTTTTTCTGGAGCTCCATTTAACCCCCCCAATTATATTCAATATTGATATACATCCAGAAAAATGTCATCTGAAGTTTTAAAATTTCCAAAACCAACAATCACAACCTGAGTTGAATTAGTCATTATCCTTTTAAAGTATCTTTGTCTTTTGTCCGTGCTTTTAGAAATAAACATATTTTTTTCTATCAGCCAAATATTTTTCATGTCTGACTTGTAAGCACATGTTAAGTCAATTACTTAGAAAATGCAGTCAGCTTAAGTAAAAAAAAAAGAAAAACCTCCTGTCCCCTGATACATAGATATTGCTGTGGTTTATTAAGTGGTTTCTTTGTTTATTTTGTTGAATAGAGGTTTGTGTAGAATTAGATGACAGCATAATTACCGGTAGGTCTTATTGGTTTGGCAGAACACGTGAGATTCAGATGACGGGGGAAAACCTAAATAATGCAGTCCAACGAATAAGACCACAATTATCATTGTGAAATCTCTTTTGCATTGGAAAAGGACCGATGGGAGCACTGATGGGAGCTGGGTAGTCTCAGTCAGGAATGCACCTCATCAAACTGTGGTTGCCTGTTTAATTAAAAAAACAGGATTCTCTGTTGTTTTATTTACTTTTAATGGATGGACGTGGTATATCACAACTTTTAGTTGAACATGTTTTGAAGATGTTGACTAACAGACCAGTTACATGTTCCTTGTGAGACTGGATGGGTGCGACAATGAGTACATCACACATCTTTTAACTTAACCTGAGTCTTTACACTTTTAGTAATTGCATTAACACATAAAACATATATTTAGAATATTACGTCTCCAAATACTGTCAAATACATCCAGGTATTCAGAAACATTGGGCCAAAGGGTCGAGACAAGCGATTTAAATGGCCATATTAGTTTGCAAACTAAATAAGAAACAGTTTTGGGTATCCCAGTGGTTGGTATTGAGTGTTATACCAAAGACTTCCTGGTTAGAAATAAGTAAAGAAAGCACAGCATGTCTTGGAAAAAGCTCCACGGATTTGAAGTTAATGAACTACAACATGGAAAACCACTGGATTGGCCATTTTTAGGAGTGCTGAGGTAACATTTAAAGACAGTGAACCTATGGTGGACTTCTGAGTTTTGGGGAAAGAATTCCAAACTTGTGACTACTGACAACCTATGTGAGGAATATGATCCAAAGCTTCTCTTCTGAATTCCTGCGCCTCCTCCTCTTTTCTGCCCTTTTCTTACCCATTCTGACCATTCCCTCTCCTCTCATCTCACTGTAATCTCTCTTACTCGTTCATTCTTTTCTCTCCCAATTTTGTTTCCTTCATATTAACCCCTTCATCCCTTTGAATTTGCTTGATTAATCCTCCTTTCTCTCCTCTACACATGATGCAAATAATGATCTCTTTCATGCATTTGTTTTTTTTTTCTCCTCTTTTTCTTTTCGTATTAAGTTTCTGCAAAACCAAAGCAACACCCAGAACACACAAGGGATCTGAGGTCCATCTGCCTGTGGTTAGAGCTTATATATTACCCTTTAGTAATGTCCCAGCGACTTGCAACATGTGGACTTGCTAAATCTTGAGTAACACACATAAGCCCGGATACATGTTTGCATTATTAGACTTATGGAGAAATGACACTAAACCATCTTTGATAGAATGCTGTTGCCTCACCATCACAACAATGACCTCCTGCCTAAATTAAAGCTTCCTTGTCTTATTGTGTTTTCTGTTTGGTAACTGATCCAAAAATGTTCAGCATGAGCTAACATATGTAAATGAATGCTTTTGTGGGTGCAATGAGTCCACAAAGGGTGTTGAAATTAGTGTCAACTCTGTGGCATAAACACGCCCATCCAATATAAATGCTTTGACATGAAAGCAGCAGTGAGGAAACAATAACAGGAACCGGACCGCCGCGTAAATTTGCATTGGCAGCTGAATGTTGTGCACAGCCAGCAGATGATTTAAAGTTTTAATTTGAACAGAAGTTCAACAATTGGTTGGTGGTCTCAGTACAAAGCAGCTTTGTTTTATCAGATCCTTTTTAGGTTCAGCCTTTAAAAAGTGGAGGCTATGAAACACAGATAGCTTAATAACTTCTACAAGAAGTACAATTTATCATATGCTCCCAGCTATACTTTAGCCATTGACGTGGGGTTCATAACACGAGATTTAGTGTTAATCCCCTTTTCTTTTAGCTTGGATATCACCAATACCCTTGTCAGGTTTTGATGCACAGTCTGTGAAAACCAAAGCTACATTAAACACAAAACCAACATTCTCCTTAAACAGTTTCAGCTCAAAAAGAGTTAAAATCTCCATACATTTATATAACCGAACCAAGCCTGTCTTTTCTTACCGGTGAGTTGAATGTCAGGCATATTCTATGTAACAATAAACAGAGATGCATCCAAAGAGTGAAAAAACTACAGAAAATTGAAAAGGAATTGGAGAATTGAAAGAAATGCATTCATCCCTTTTGTGGTCTTAAACAGTTTTACCTGTATGTCTGAAGAATACCAAATTATGAGAGTATTCTGAAGATAAAAGTTGGCACATATTTCCTTTGGAAATATGATCAGTAATCTTTAGCAGAATCTGTGCTCAAATTATTACTTGTTAAGTCATTACACCGTTACTTCTCCTGTTTTTTCTTCTGTTCTGGGAAGTCTCTATTTTGTGCAAATTCTGTCTTTCTGATTTTGACTCTTGAGATTCAACGCTGACTGCTTCTGACCACCAGAAAAAGGTGGCACACTAGAAAAAACCTCTCTGGTGTTGAAATATGACTGTTGATATATCTGTATGTTTGAGTCACTCATATGTTTAATAATGTAAATACAAATGTGTGTATTAAAGAGCAAATAGCATCTTTTTAAACATATTTCTTCATGTCAAACCTCCTTGTTGACTGACTGCCTGTCTGAAATGCATCATGGAGATTTGCTTTTCATATTGTGTCTAACTGTAACCACCTAACCTGAAAGTATGTGTTTCTGTGTGTGTATGTTTGTGCATGTTTTTTTGTAGCTTGCAGACGGAACCAGTTCAGCTATCATTAACCTTTCAGCCTCTACTTCCAGCCTTCATGTAGGTAACAAATTAAGCTTTTAACACATTTTTATTAATTCCCATGTAGGTTAACCTTTTACTTGTTCTACTCTTTGTTTTCTTATCATTCATTTGTGTGTTGTGATACTTTTCTTCCCTTTTCACATCGTGCTGCATTAAATTTCTGTTGAAAGTGAAAGTCGACTCAGATCTGCTTACATTGGCAACAAACAGCACAGATGTGACTGCGATGCTGTAATTTAAAGTTATGTAAACTTACCAAGGAACCTCTCTGTGTCTGGAACTGTAGGAGAAATGCATAAAAAAACTCCAAAAACTGATAAATGATCCATATAAAGTGCTATAGCAGAGGTCTGAATTTGGGAGCTTTATTGATGAAGTACATCTCGAATGAGACACTGATGGATAAGACTGAGTACAGAGAGGTGAGCGTTGATCTGGAAGGAATGAAAAGGACTATTTACATTCTGTTTTCTTGGGCTTGTCTCAGGAATAACACTACTCAAGAAATCTGGGTTTTTACAGAGCAACACAGTCGGAGCCGTGTGGTTTCAGCAGAAATCTGATCTCTAATTTATCCGGGAGACCACGCTCCTTGTTACGTTCTTCCATCTTATTTTTCTAAGCCAAGCCAATTTGAACACTAAGCTTGACCTGGAGCAGACTGCGCACACAAATACACACATCCAGTAGTTCTCCCTCCTTCCCCACTCGACAGTAATTGGGGGGGTGATTTCTTTCTTTCCAAACAAAGTTATTTGTTTTATTAAGGGTCAGATATAGAAACCAGTCTAATTAAAGGCTCAGCTTTCTGTCTGGCTGGGACCAAAGTCAACAGAGCTGCTGTAGATCCTTTGTACCACAACTGTCTCTAAGCAGACGTGTACCAAAAGGAGGGATGAATGAATCA